AGGGACTACGATGGATCCCCAAAATGGCATTTAACAGTTTACCCCAAGTATCACTTTGGCATTTTGTTTACATACTGACTATCCAGAGCATCACTGGGAAAGGTGTCATTTCAACCTGTTGATTCTTGTATTGAATAAGTTTGATAAAATTGTCATTTTTATATTTCCTGTTACATTATCTTATAAAAATTAACCATAGATAAGATCATCTTTATATTTTGATTACCTCAGAGTTAGGATACACAGGCAAAAGACTGAATCTAGATCCATACTGCTCACTGTGCACTAAAATCAAAATGGATCAAAGACCTAAATATTAAAACAGAAACATTCAATCTGCTGGAAGATAAAGGTAAAATTCTTGAAGACACATCCACAGGTAAGGATTTTCTGAATGAAACCTCAATTCCACAAGAAATAACATCAAGAATTAACAAATGAAATTATATCAAATTAAACAGATTCTGTACAGCAAAGAGAACAACCAACAGAATGAAGAGACAATCTACAGAAAGGGGAAAAAATTTTGCCAGCTAATCCCACACAGAGGACTAATATCTAGACCTGTAGTGGCAAACAGGGCTCGCATGTGGCAGCGGGCTGTTATCATTGAAAGCTCTATCACTTTCACTGATCTAGAATATACAGTATAAACAACACAAAAATAATTAGACCCCCAAAGTAAAAGACCCAATCGAAAAATGGGCAAATAGGGCCGAGGATTTAGCTCAGTGGTACCATGCCTGCCTTGAAAGGCCCAAGGTCCTGAGTTCAACCCCCCATAGGGGGATGGTGGGAGTGCAACTGAAATGAATAGGCACTTCTTAGAGGAAGTACACAGTACACATGGTCAATAAATACATAAAGTCCCCCTTCTGAGAGACAGAAGCTTTCTTTCTCTCCAAATTTTTCCTACTCTAAAAAAATAAATAAGTGAAAGTGTTCAACATCTCTGACCATTAGAGAAATTCAAATCAAAACAACACTGAGGGGCGTGGTGGTGCATGCCTGTAATCCCAGCCCTTGGGAGACTAAGGCAGGAAGGCTGCTAAAGTTTGAGGCCAGGCTGAACTACATAGGGAGACCCTGTCAAAAAACCAAAAAAATAAAATTTGAAAAGAAAACAACAAAACAACACTTAGACTCCACCTTAATCCAGAAATAATGGCTATCAAGAAATCAAATAATAACAAAAGCTAGCAAGGCTGATAAGCAAACACTTGTACTTGGTGGGAATGAAAACTAGTATAACCACTATGGAAATCAATATGGAGAGTCCTTAAAAAACTAAAGACAAAAATTCCAAAAAAAAAAAAAATTCCATTTGACCCTGCTATTCCTTCTGGGTATCTTCCAGAAAGAGACAAAGACATCCTATGCACATCCATGCTTTCAGCAGCACAACCAGCAATAGATAAATCTTGGAAGTGTCCTGTATGTCCATCAACAGATGAATAGATAAAGAAAATGTGGTATGAATACACAATGGAGTACTACTCTGACACTGAGATAAACTTGAGTCATTTGTAGGAAAATGGATACACCTTGAGATCATGATTTTTATTTTTGGTACCAGGGATCGAACTCTGGACCTTGCACTTGCAAGGCAGGAGGGGGAACCACTGAGTTAAATTCCCTGGCCTTTGAGATCATGATGTTAAATGAAATAAATTAGACACACAAGCTTAAACATCACATGGTTTCTCTCATATGAGAAAACCAAAGTATATGTAATTTAAAGAGCAAAATACAAGATACAAATAGAAAACAGGGACACAGATCTTTTTGATTTTTGAGACAGGGTCTTTCTATGTAGTTCAAGCTGGCCTTGAACTAACTCATTATGTAGCCCAAGCTGGTCTAGAACTAGTAGCAATCTTCCTGCCTCAGCTACCTGAGGGCTGGGATTACAGGCATAGGCCACCAAGCCTAGCCAGGGAGATAGGTGTTTCCAAATGGGAAGGAAACCCAGATGGAGGGAGGCAGAAGGGGAAGTAAAAAAGAATTAAGATGTGTTATATACATGTACCAACTTCTCATGATGAATAGAATCATTATGCACTAAAAATATATACAAATAAAAAATTTTTTAAATTAAAAAACTTTTAAAGAGAGCCTTTAAGAAATATTTGGACACTATCAATTGTGTTTTTTTATTTAAAAACCTCACTATGGGCATGTTAGCACATACCTATAATCCCAGCATACTGGAAGGTTAAGGCAAGAGGACTATAAATTCAAGTCCAACCTGTACAACTTAGTGAGACCTTGTCTCAAAAAATTAAAAGGGCTCAGGATGTAGCTCAGTGCAAAAGCCCTGGGCTCAATACTCAATACCACCAAAAAGAAAAAAAAAGGCAAAAAACTACCATAGTCCCAATTTCTTATATCTACACCAATTTAAATTGCTACATTGGGCTGGGGATTTAGCTCAGTGGCTCTGGTCCTGAGTTTGATCCCTGGTACTGAAAATAAATAAATAAATAAATAACTACATAAACAACCCAAATTGTTCAGTTTTTTTCCTTAACAAAAAACAAGCTGCTAAAATTTTTTTACTAGGATGTAAATTCCTTTTGTGACCCTGGTGCAAATCACTTTCTGACTGTGAACCTAGGTTTCTCTTCTATGAGACAAGGATAAGCCAGGCATGGTGGCCCACGTCTGTAATTCCAGCACTTGGGAAACTCAGCCAGGAAGATCGCCATGACTTCATGCAGGCCAGCCTGGGCTACATAGTGAGCTCGAGGCCAGCCCAAACTATAAAAAGAGACCCTGTCTTAAAAAAAAAAAAAAAAAAAAAAAAAGACATGGATAAAACATGTTCCACCTACTGCAAAAATCAACTGAAATTTTATGTGAAAAACACAACTCACAATGTCATAAACCACTGCACAGTTCACAATAGCTAAATCCTGGAAACAGCTCAAATGCCCATCAACTGATGAATGGATAGAGATGTGTTGTTGTTGTTGTTTTAATACAATGGAGTACTACTACTTTGCCATAAAAAAAGATAAGCTTGGGCCGAGGATTTAGCTCAGTGGCACCATCCTGCCTAGCAAGCACAAGGTCCTGGGTTCGATCCCTGGTGCCAAAAAAATAAAAAATAAAAAAAAGATAAGCTTGAGACATTTCTAGCTTAATGGATGCACCTTGAGTCCATACTCTTAAGTGAAGTAAATCGGACACACATGTTTAAATACTGCATTGTTTCTCTGGTGTGAGAAACCAAAACTGGAAATAAGAACCAAAATGTCTAATAGATATTGGGAAGTGGGAGGAAAATGTTCAAATGAGAAGGGCAACAAGGGAGTGGAGGGGGGAAAGGAAAGATGGGACAAGGAAAGAAAAATAGAAGGGAAAAAATGGAAACAAAGCTTTTGTAAATAAGGAAGGGAAGAGGGATTGAAGGGGGGCAAAGGGCAAAAAAAGCAGCAGCAAGATATATCATGTACAGATACAAATTCCCTATGATGTTATCATTATGTATATCTAAAATGTACCAAAAAGTGTCATAAACCATGGGGCAATGGAGCATGCCTATAATCTCAGCACTGTGTGAGGCTGAAGCAGGAGGACTGAAAGTTCAAACCCAAGTAGGCTTCACTTATCTATGCAGGGAGACCCTATCTCTAAGTAAGGGCTCAAGATGTAGCTCAGTGCAAAGGCCCTGCATTCAATTTACAGCGCCACATGCACACAAAGTCACAAAGCTATCACTGAACTCATAAGTGTAGCATCATATACTATATTTCCTTTCACTTTTATTCCACTTTTCTTACTTTATTATAGCAGTAACTTATGTAAGGTGTAGCCCCAGAGCACACAGCCCATCAGAATCCAAACTACTCAAGCTCATATAATTAACAGCAGTAAGCTAAAGATTTAGCATAACTAAAAATTTAAAATTTAATGCTAAATATTTTTATTTCAGCAATTTGTTTTCACTGCAATATAAAAAGTTAAAAAGCTACTAGAAGTTGCCAGTGAATTAAGGGTAAACGGTTATTAACACAAGTACTTAAGAGAAATACACTTCAAATTAACAGTTGTCAATAAACATTGGTCCGTGTAATGACAAAGAGCAAAACCACAGAAGCAGATGATTTACTGTAAACCTACAAGACTTCATTATTAAAACAGGTGAATTTGGGACAAAATACCCGAGTGACACAGGGTAAATGAATTAGTACATGTCAATTTCAGGCTAGGAAAATAACAACGGGGAAAAAATCAGGGATTGAACGTGTACTTCTTTTAAATTAATGGTATAAAATTTAAAAACTTACAACAAAGTTATTCCACCTTACAAGTAGCTCAGCACTACTACAAAGTAAATGAAACCTTTATAAAGCCCAGAAGTTTACATTTCAGGAACACACAACACCATCCGTAAACATCAGGTGGTTTCTCTTTGTTGCTTACCGATGACACAGCTTTCTTCCAATCTACAACTAATTGGGGACCCAACTCCTTGCTCTAAAGGCCCGTTTCTACCCCTGCCTGCACAGGAGGAACTAAAATGGGCGTCCAAGCGTCCGGAAGAGAGTAATCTGGGACAGAGAGAGGGACTGAGAGGGGCGCAGGCAGGAGGCTCGGGGTCCGCTCCTCGGGTGGCCGACTGCGAAGCTCGGCGGGGACGAGCCGGTCTGATTGCCGGGTTCCCTCGCGCCACTGGGGGAGGTGTCAAGCGGGGTTCAGGGCCGGGACGGTGCCTCCAGCCACGGTGCCGGGCGAGGCGAGCGGTGGGGTCCGGCCCACTGTCCCAAAAGGGGAGGGGGAGCGAGGCTCCGTGGAGGACTGAGAACGGGCTGGTGCGCCCGAGGCCTGAACTGGCCGGCGGGCCCACTGCCGTCCTTGGGGGCAGGATCCTAGGGTTACGAGCGCCGAGAGGGGCCCGCGTCTTCGCGAGGGCAGCCTGGCGTCTGAGGCTGAAGGGAAGAAAGGTAGGCCCGTGGGGGTGTCCCCGCCGCCTCTCGAGCCCCCGCCCCCTTCACCTGCCACGAACACCACGAACACCGCGCCGCTCCTCTTCGCCGAAGCGATAGCGGCCGGAATGGCACCCTGGAACCACAGCATCGCTCCCCTCAGGCCTTGTCACACGCTCGAAGTGTAGTCGCCGCAGTCCCGGAGCTGGCCCCGCCCTCCCGCTTCGTCGAGCCCCGCTGCCTCCGCCGGCCCGGCCCCCGCCTCCGGCTCCTCAACCGCGCACGCCCGACAGCACCCCTCTGGGACGCCCGCGCGCCTCGTAAGGCGCGCCCCACGTCACATGACCCGAACACGTCGCCGTCTACTCTGCGTCTCGTTCCCTTGGCGGGTCGGGAGTACGCGCGTCCGCTAGGCCCGCAGTCCAGGAAGTGGAAGGCGGCGGCGGGAAGGATGACTAACCGCTACGGCACGTCGGCGTCTCCTGCAATGAGGCATGTCGGGAATTGTTGTCTTCTTAGGCATGTTTGTTTCCTGGCTGTGGAAACGTTAACTGTGGTTTCCGAGGCACGACGAAAGGGGGCGGTAGTGAGCGCCACTCTAAGGAGATATTGATGGAATGCTGGTTTTCCAGTTTCCTGGGCATTAGCTAGAGATCATTTTAAAAACTCACAGCTGCGGGTTCGGGATTTAGCTCAGTGGTTCCGGTGCCTGCCTCGCAAGCACAAGGTCCCCAGTTCAATTCCTGGTACCAAAAAAAAAAAAAAAATTAAAAACTCACTGCTGCCTTCTAAAGTAACACAAAAGAGGAGAACCATTTATTTTCCAGCCACTTTCCCCATGGTAATGCAAAAGAGAATAACAGGGCCAGGGATTTAGCTCAGTGGTTACACCGCCTGTCTCACAAGCGCAAGAACCTGAGTTCGATCCCCCGTACCAAAAAAAAGGAGAATAACAATTTCACACGTGATTATAAGAATGTCCTACACTGAAGATATGGCACTTTGTGATTGACATTAAAGTGAAAATTGATCCATATTTAATACATTCATGAAATTACATTAATAACTGGTTTATCATGGTTTGTATGGTTTATAGGTTCCATATGCAATTACTTACTTTAGACATTCTGTATTCATTAAATGTCTCATCCAGCAATGTAGCCATTTGACAATCTTTCCTACATTAAGAAGGTGATACAAAAATAAACCTTTCCTACAAATGTTCTATCTAATAATAACTAACAAGTGGCAGTAAGTTTTTTAGTTTTTTCCAACCAGGTCCCCAACACTGCATTACTATAAACTGTAACATAATGCTGATTACAGGCAGTTGCTGCTTATATGGGACATCATTCCTCAGAAAAAATTAGAATTGTGGCACCACGCCTGCCTGACAAGCACGAGGTCCTGAGTTCGCGTCTCAGTACTGAAAAAAAAAGACTATTCCAGAAAGAATTAGAATTGATCCTTCACATCATTTTAAATGGACTTCTTAAAATGCAACCTACAAAATGCTAGGATTTTTGAGGGCTTTTCATCATAAAGAAATGATAAATGAGATGGATAGATTTAATCTGATGTAAACATTACACAACAAATACATGTATTGAAACGTTCGTGGCAGCCTGCTAATTTATACAATTTTTATGTTTTTTTTATATACCAGTTAAAAATAAATTTAAGTAAGCTGAGCATAGTGGCACATGCCTGTAATCCCAGCACTCTGCGAGGTTGAGGCAGGAGGATCACAAGCCCAACACAGCCTAGTCAACTTAGCAAAACCCTGTCTCAAAACAAGATGGGACTGGACATGTAGCTCAGTGCAAAAGCCCTGTGTTCAACCCTCAGTACTGAAAATAAAAAGTAGTAAAAATTCAATTAACATAGAAATTCTTGCAATAGAAATGTCTTTATTCCTAATGTTAGAATTAAATATTCTAAGAATAGCTTTTCATTCGCTCATTCATTCATTCATTCATCAAAATCTATTATGAATTAGGCTTTGTACTTGGCCCTGATGAAGTAAGGCAGTCAGACAAGTGCTCTGCCTTTGTGACTGTACAGACTAGTGAGGAGGGTAGACATTGAGCAAGTGATTGTGAGTGATGTGATTCTGAAGGCCACAAGAAGGGTATTTTTCAGTGCTATAGAAGTGTGTGATGATGAGACCAAACATGTTCTAAAGGTCAGAAAAGGCCTTCTTGAAGAAATGACATGTCAGGGGGAATCTAGGTACATGAAGATCATTCCAGGCGGAGGAAGTAGATTTATTAAGGCTCCCTACCAAGCAGCACAGTGCACTTGGCCTAGAGGGTAGCTCAGTGGCACAGTGCTACCCAGCATGTGAGGGCCCAGGTTCAATTTTCAACACAACGAAGAAACAAAACCCACAGTACACTTGAAGAACTGAAAAATTCCCATTGTGACTGGAACATAGAGGAGTGTGGTACAAATGAGATGGAAAGATAGGCAAGGATCAGATCATGCAGAGCCTTGGAAGTCACATTCAAAATGTTTTTCTAAGAATTGTAGAAAGCTGTTGAAGAATTATAAACCATTGGAGGGCAATCAATCCTCCAACTGCCTAGAAAGGGAAATGGAGAGGGCTAAAGAAAAAAAGACAACAGAGACTTGTGTAATTTCAAAGTATATGGGGAGCTGGGAGATCAGTGCCTCAGGGTGGGCAAGGCCAAAGACTCTGAGCTAGCCACTATTTTATTGGGTACACACAATAATTGGAGGGAGTATCCAGTGACTTAGGGGGTGATAGGTCTCCCACTACCTCAGCAGCTATTATGTATAGTAGATGCCCTCTTCCTATCGTGCCTTGCCCCCTCCCCTGTGTGACGTCATGCCAAGATGGTTGCTCCCACCAAAGAACAAACCCTTCTTCCCAGCATGCCCCTGGTCCTACCTAGAGAGTAACCTAATGCTCGCTCACCTCCTACCACCTAGTGACATCACCGGCTCCTCCATTCCCTAGTCACTACCTCACTCAACCCCACCTCAGCCCCTACAAGCCCCACCCCAGTCTCTATAAAAGACACTCCCTGCCCTGGCCATATTACTTTTGTCTCTTCTTTGGTCAGTCCGATGGGTTTATTCCCCTAATACAGGCTTGTTGTGGCCTGGTCTGGTCTTGGTCTTCGGCCTTTTACCTGACAGGGGGTGACAGTGATCCTATGTTGAGGCGGATCTTATGCTGATGAAGATCTTAGGTCACGAGGTTCTTATGTTGAGGACTGTAAGGAAAGCATTCTTAAAATAGTAGGTGGGAGGGCCGGGATTTATGGCCTTCAGTGGTTCCTTGCGCAACTCCTGAGTTATCCCCAGTACCAAAAAAAAAAAAAAGAAAAAGAAAAGTAGGTGGGAGGAATTAAGCTGATAAGGAATTTGTCTCTCCCCAGGTGAAATCTTTCTCTTTTTTTTTTATTACGACTCAGTTCTCAAAGAACCAGGATGTCGTCAGCTAATGCAGTCTTGCTGTTGAGCACCACAGCATCACAGGACCATTGAGGTCCTAACTGTGACCTGAGGCAGAAATGGAGTTAGTTATGTCTCGACATGCCATAGCCGGCCTGTAGACAGGAAAAACTAGGCCTAATCATAATTTGTGAAATGATTTTCACCCCAAATTATGTAGAATTGCTCCCAACAATAAGCCAGAGTTACAGATCAGCCTTTTGTTTTTATTTTTTAGTTTAAATTCAATTTATTTTTAGACAACCTATATGACATGTTTTGGGTTTTTTCCCTAAAAAACAATGCCTCCACTCCAAATAAATCACAGTCAAAATAAAGGAAGCGGGCCGGGGATTTAGCTCAGTGGTTTCGCCGCCTGCTGCGCAAGCGCAAGGACCCGAGTTTAATCCCCGGTACCAAAAAAAAAAAAAGTAAATGAAGCATTCAAGATGACATCAGTCCCATTTGTCTAAAATCCCCGTGTTGTGTGGATGACAAGCAGCACCCAGTTATGACAAGTGATAGATCCAAGGTAACCGCCAAATCCATTAACATTCTTCCATTTCTAAACCATCCTTAAAGAAAATCATAAATGGGGTCACACTATCCTCACGGTAGTCCAGGAAAGCAACCATGCCATCTAGATTCATGTTTGCACCAATAAAGAACTGATAGTTTTTGAAATTAGCAAGGATGTGCTTGATTTGTTCTGTAGGCCCTGTCATAAAAGGTTTTACTCTTTCTGGTCTTTGTTCTTCAAGTTTGCCTTTGATTGATTTCATATAATCTTTGATGTACTTCTTGTAGGCCTCTTTTGTAAAGCTGGTTTCCTGCAAATGATGGTTCATGACAGTATCAACACCAGTGACTACTGTGCTTTCGGTACTTTCGCCCTCCGGGCCTTCAGCGGAGGCAGTTCCACCAATGAGCGAGTCATCAATGTTAGTTACCTTCTGTTCTACTGATCATCTTGCCCTCCACTTCCAGGCACAGCCCGCACGCGATCTCCTGGATCTTGTAAATGTCGGAGAACATCTCATCGTGGCTGATGAGGTCCCCATAGATAATCATGATGGTGGCTGAAGGGAGACAAGCCCGCGCTAGCTTAGCATGAGCCAGGAGCTCAGAGCTAGGTCGGTACAGCCAGAGCGGCGCATGGGGGAGGGGGTCTTTAAATTAGGGAGGGGGGTCAGATTTTTTTGAGTTCTTCATATATATATATCTGTTCCTTTGTCTGAGGAACAGCTGGTAAATTTTTTTTCCCACATTGTAGGTTGTCTCTTAGCTCTGTTGGTGGTTTCTCTT